AAAGATTGCAGTTCAGAGTCTCACTATTAATCCCAGGATGCAGATAGATATCATCATCAATCTGTGAGCAAATTGCAAGCTTGGGTTCATGTTAATGCTATTTGTTTTGTCTTGTACAACTTGGAATGTTGTCAAGCCTGGGACTTGGTTGGCCAGGCCCCCTCCAGGGGTTCAACCATCTCAAGATTCATCTCCCATCTTATCTATGGTTTGCAAGTCATGCACTCACAGCAGGCAGTCACTCCTGGTCACTCACAGTCAGGGCAGTGTCCAGGCAGGTTAGAAGCAAGGTCAGAGGCCTACTTTCTTTGTCTCTGAAGCCTAAGAAAGACCATTTATTTAATTTCCCTAACAGCCCCAGGATTGTTTAGGCCAAAGAGCATAGGAACAAGGCAAAATAACATGAGCAGTCTTAGTAATTTCTATAAATAACAATGTAGAACATATTGTAGGTTTTAGGGAAAACAGTCCATTCACAGTAATTGATGGAGTGCTCCAATAAGTGGGGTTTGCAAACTCGAGAAGTTGGTCCTTTCATAGTCCTGTCACAGTCTGTCAGTAAATGGGTGCAGTTACCAAAGCCTAGATAATTTAATCACCGTTGCAAGAGTCTATGATTTTATGTTTCTACTGACCAATGGTAGGGCAGGTGAAGTTGTCTTGGGTGTTGGCCAGGTGACATTATTGTATAACCATGTGGAGATCCATTTGTTTCATTCTCAAACAACAAACTTAACGAGAGGGTTAGAGAGGCATACAAGTAGAAGAGCTGTCAAGGTGCCTAGAATAAAAGCTAGCCAGGAGAACCAGGACCAGACACTGGCCCATGATGTTAGTGTTTCTCTAGATACGAGAAGATGCAAGAGTCTGGGTTCAGAAAAAAAAAAGAAAATCTTTACCTGAAAACACCTATCTGAAGGCCTGTTTTTCCCATTTTTCCTAGAGCACAGAGTGAGTGCCTAATTTCTGCTATCTACCCTGAAATTCTTTCAGGGGGTGTTGAAGTTCAGCAGCTGTAGTGGCCATTATTTAATTTTTGCAGAGGCAGTCTGCAAGTGCCAGTCTCCAGTCAGCAGGGCCCCTTCATATCTATAGATTTGATCATGTTTTGGGGGCATTTCATGGCCATCATGTTCCATGATGCTGGAAAGGCTCATTCCCAGGTCTAGTGAACATTCCATTGATAGGCCACTCAATGTGCTATTATTGGACCAGGGCCTATGAATAGAAAAAGTCTCTGGACCATTCCTGTCTTACTAGCCTCTTGGTCCAGGAAAATATTCCCTCTTGTTGCTTCTTCTCATATCTAGAGTTACATTATTATAATCATTGATCTCATATTTTATCAGTGGCTCAGTCACATACTTAGTAATGTAAGAGATAAAAATTTTTTGCAACAGGTGACATAGACAATAATATAGATACCAGTTATTAGTAAGGTCACAAGCGAGAATTTAAGTCAAGAACTTTCATTAGGTATAGCCCAGTATACCCCGGGTCATCTGACTTAGTTAAATGATTATAGCCAGGTGTTAATCTCCTGGTTGTACATCATGGAATATCTGATCTTTATCCAAAGATTGACTATTGATATAAACTTTAGAAACAAAGTTAGAGTGTCCTTTTAATAACTGAACTAAAATTTTAACAATAAAACTTAACAAGGAAGCATCTCAGAAGTGAGTAACAAAACTAGAATTTACTGTTTAGTGAAACATAAACATTTTTCATTGTGAGAGCATTAACCTTGCAGCCAGGGAAGGCTTTATCCCATCAAATAAAAGTGAGGTTTGTCACAGAGCCGGGAAAAGCCAAGTGGCCATCTTGGATTTCCCATAGCCCTGACTGTTTGATTTACAGCTATTGCTTATCCGTTTTAAATTCCCCAGATTAGGAATAGACTATTGCCATGTTTTTAGGACATCAAGATAGCAACAATTTGACAGTGAGGGGTTAATTCTATAGAAGCAGAATGAGCTTTATCTACATGTACCATAATCTTCATAGATCATTGTGAAATAAGGCACATTTACTTTACCAAAGTAACAAAAGATTTTAAAAACAAACAAATCACTTCAAGGCAAAGAAATTCACAACCTGTGATCAAAAGCTGCATTCTAAGAAAACGTTCTCTTAACAGAGAGAGAAAACCAAATTCCTGTCTGGTACCAGCTCACTGTGAGTAATAAAATTTTATCTGGTTAATCTTTGAAAGACTTTTCCATAAATCTTAAAAAAAGTAATAGTGTTCTTTCAAAGGTATCAGAGGAAAACCACAGAAGGCATTTTTAAAATCTGATTATATTGCAATTGACAAAGCAACCTGGTCATTACTGTGACATGCAACACTATTATATGACAACTGGAATTATAATTGACAACATTTTATCAGGATATATCAGATGTTTATAAATTATATGCATAATTTTTAGCATATCCATATGAGTAACATCAACCATAGCGTTTAACCTGAGAAGATTTATCACTACTCCAACAATACTTCCCATGTAATTTAATATGTCAAATGAACACATGTAGTTTAATATCTCTCTTTGGGATGTCTCAGGGACCCTCTGAAGTACCCCAAAGTCAGCTAGAGGTCAAGAACTATATTAGAATTTAATTTTAGGAAGTTTTGTCAAAATATCAAAAGGTGTTATAATACTTAGTCAGATAGGATCATTTAGGTCACTATGAAACAACAGTTATTCACTTAGCCAAAGTCAACAAAAGATTTCAAAGTAAACATAGAATAGATCACTTTAGGCTTAAAGAGACTTAAAATCCATTATCAAAGGCAGTTTGACATCTCAACAAAACTTGTATTATGCACTAAACTCTTTTTTGGGATCCACTTTCCATAAAACCTGTTTCTCTCTAGTTTTGTTTTTTTTAATCACTTTGCTCATTTAGAAACAGCCACCTGTAAGTCAGACCTACTTTCTTTTTTCTTAATAAAATGGAATGATATTTCTCATACCGTTTTTGTTTTGTTTTTTACTAAAAACACACATTATCTTTTCTTAAGCAACCATGAACTGGTTGTATTCTATAGACTGGTGAACATAAATGCCAGTGATAATTTCTAAAAACATTTGCTTTCTTATACAGAACATCTCAGGATGGCACCAAACATATTCATTAATTGTCCAAAATCTCTTTAGTTTCTCTGTAAGAGGAAGTTACATCATCATGCATGCTAAATCGTTTCAGTCATGTCTGACTCTTTGAGACCTCATGGACTGTAGCCCGCCAGGCTCCTCTGTCCATGGGATTTCCCAGGCAAGAATATTGGACTGGGCTGCCATTTCCTCCTCCAGGGGACCTTACTGACCCAGCGATCGAACCCTAGCATTCCTGCTCCTCCTGCACTGTCAGGCAGGTTCTTTACTGCTAGTGCCACCTCGGAAGCCCCAAGAGGAGGTTAGTGTTCAGTAATTAATGTTCCAAATCTTATTTTATTTGGAAATGACCTAGCTATTCAATAAACTTTCATCACTTAGTTTAGCACAACCCTAGAAATCCAAGGTATCCCATCCTGGAGAGACTATTTGAGACAGACATTCCTAAAGTATAATTATTCTTAATAGAGTTTATCTAAAAGCTCTTGTCTCATTTATATTTTTCTTTTTTAAAGTTTCTTCACTCGAGTTACTTTCCTTGTTGACAAATTTAGTTTACATTAAACCTAGGCACAATGAAAGTATTACAATATTGATGACTCAAGACATGTCTTAATTACATTAGCAAACAGATATTTCTAGTTCACGTGAACCTAAAATTCATTTAGGTTAATTTCTCTTGTAACTGTTTGATTTGTAAACACTTTCTTTTAAGTCAATTGAATCAGAGCTCATTTACAAACTAACTTCAGCAATGTGACCCCAAAACAAAGATGCACACTGAGACACAATACATAAATTCAGACAGAGATCTCATAGTTTTCCACTTGAGATTTAAAACGTCTCTGACTCTCTTCTTTTATCCCCCTTGACTTGAAATTCTAATTTAGACTAGGCTGAGGTCTCAGGCAAATTGGGCTGTGCATTTTAAGGACATGACAAAGGCTGAATGCTGTGCTGAGTCACGTCAGTCATCTCCAAGTCTTTGTGACCCTATGAAAGGCAGCCCACCAGGCTCCTCTGTCCATGGAATTCTCCTGGCAAGAATACTGGAGTGGGGCGCCATGCCCTCCTCCAGGGCTTCTTCCTGACCCAGGGATTGAACATGGGTTCAATGCGTTTCCTGTATTGGCAGACAGCTTATCTACCACCAGCACCATCTGGAAAGCCCAGGCAAAGTACTGGAAGCTTTTTTCTAGTTAGGCCTTTTTAGCAAGCTAGCTGTTTTTAACTGCATATGCAAAAAGTTTTCCAGTTTCAAAGGAAAAAAGCAATTTCATTTCAATCAGTTTGCTCCAGAATCTAAAGAATATTGTGGCCATCCTATGTTCAAAAAGTCATCTTTCCTTTCTGTATTCATAGTTTTATAGCCAAAATATAGACCAAATTGTGTTCAAATTGTCTCTGACAACAGAGGCAGAAAAGAAACTTGCTAGAGTGGGGGAAGGAGTTGGGGAACCTAGGTTCCCCCTCTCCCCTGAGAAATAGGGGAAGCTAGAAAGCAATTAGCGGATAGAGGGAGACAGAGGGGTAAGGGGGGCAGATAAGGCAGCAGCAAGATAGCAAGTGGACAAAGAAAGGAGAGAGAGAGGGGAGTTAGGGCTGGGGGCTAGCTCAAGGAAGAGCTGACTTAAAAGAAAATGAAGACTTAATCAGTTAAAATATAATTTCAGCATGGTAACATGGACAACCATCCTCACGGATCACATAATTCTTTTTCCAATTGTAATTTCTCTCTGGACAATTTTAAGTGAGCTTCATGTACCTTACAGGAGGCAGAAAGGAGGATCAAGCCTCTCATCCAGCACGGCACATTCTTAGCCCTTCTCAATCAGTATGAACCACAAACATTCAATAACTTTTAAAGGTTTGGCCCACCTTAATGTAAAGTTCCAATTCTCACACAATCCAGTGACTCCATCCCTTGTGTTAGCTAATGAGCAATAAGGTGAATCTTCCCATCTGGGAATAAAAAAAACTTCATCAATCTTAATCTCTTAGTAGAGTGGCATTTTGTTTCACAAATCCTGCTGACAGCACCAACCAAGTAATGTTTTGCCGGAAAGTTTTCATTTTCATCTCAGGTTCAAAGACTTTGTTAACAAAATAAGCCACTCATTCTATGCTAATAAATAATACAAATAATTATTAGAGAATTACAGAGCTTACTTTCAATATACTAACATTAAAAGAAGATAGAAATAGAAACAGCCGAGGATACATCACCACATTGGTTTCGACATCCAGACTTAAACAGCGCTGGGAAGCCCTGTGTCACAGCACATTTGGAGTACCAACTGGGAAGAGGTCCCAGGCAGCGAGACTGCTCAGTGGGTAAGACTTCCAAGACTGTAGTTCAGGGCTTCCTGCTTATGATCCCAGGACCCAAACTGATATCATCAATCTGTGAGCAAATTGTAAGCCTGGGTTCATGTTAATGCTACTTGTCTTGTACAACTTCGAATGCTGTCAAGACTGGGGCTTGGTTGGCCAGCCCCCCCTGCAGGGGCGCAACAATCTCAAGATTCATCCCCATCTTATCTATGCGGCTGCCAGTCCTGCGCTCACAGCAGGCAGTCACTCATAGTCAGGGCAGTGTCCAGGCAGGTCAGAAGCAAGTTCAGAGGCCTGTTCTGCCTTGTCTCTGAAGCCTAAACAGGACTACCTACTTAACTTCCTTAACATGGGGGTTAGCAATAAGTGCTTTACAAAGCTCTGCAGGAGATTCTCATGCAGCCATTGTCTGACAGCCACTACCTTAGAATAATTATTTGCCAGTTTCTTGTGGATAAGTAAGCCCTGGCTTCTTTTCTTCCAGGCAGCATTCGGTAGAGCCCAGGGTTTGGAATCAGAGTCCTCGGTGCCATATTGTGACCTCAGCATATCATCTGTGACATCTTGGGCCAACTGATCAACCCCTAACTCTGGGGTCCTAATTTCTGCACAGGTAAAATGGGATATTACTTGATATGATTGTTTAAAGGTTAAATGAGATGAGACCAGCAAAATGACAACTTAACTGTCCCGCTACATGCAAGTACTGAACAAAGTCAGCTAGTCCTTTTAAAGTCTGCATCTCAGTTATATGTCCATGGGTCAGTCCAGAGACAAGTTTCTGGTGTGTATAGTCATCGTATCTTCAAAAAAAAAAAAAAAAAAAGTTCTCTAAATTCAGTTCAAATCTCCTAATACTCCTAGATACTCCCACTTCAGTCAGGTATCAAGATGAAGAGTCCAGTTTATTTCTTAACCAATTTATTGGAATTACTGACACATCACTCCCAGGCGTTTCCTGGCTGAGGCTGGAGGAATTTTCCTCCTCTGGAGTATTTCCATCCTCCCCACCTCCAACAGTCTTCCATCAGTCCGCTTCTCTCCACTGAACTATAAACAGCCTCCAACCATATCATAAATGCTCTCAGAGTAAATCACATTCAGAATCAAACTTTCACTCACAGGAATCAATATAGAAACATCAAAGGGTAAAATGGACACAGGAACATAGTTTGTTTTTATCTTTGTTTGTTTCTATGTTTAATAGTTTATTGTTTTGAATAAAGAATCCATATCTGTGATTAAAAGGTTTAAATATTAGAAAAGAGAACATAATGCATGGTTATTCTCTTCCCACCTTTGGCACTTAGCTTCTTGGCAACCATGCTTATGAGTTTTTGCTTTTGTTTTTTTTTTTTTTTGCTTATGAGTTTTTTAAGTAAACTTACAGATAGTCTATATGTGCATAAATCATGGGAAAAAACATTACATATGTGTGTATGTGTGTCTGTGTATCTCATCCTTTGTTTTCCACAAAATGTAGAATATTATACCACTGTTTGTGGAACATGGAAAGCATGACCAATAAGACTAACAAGTAATCTTGATAATCTGCAAAGTCCAACATAGGGGATGCCTGAAAATCTGGATGATATTTCTGCAATACAAAAAAGTCTTATCCTGTCTTCTGTGTCTCTGGCTGCACAGTTGCTCTATGATGGCTGCATCCATACGCGTGTGCACATGTGCATGCATGTATGTACACACAATGTCAAATACTTGCTCAGTAGATGCTTGCTATATGTCTGAAGACAAATCAAAATCTTTATAGACAGGATTTATATTTTAGACTCAAGATCAGATATTCTTTAAGTGGTCCTAAAATTCAGATGATGAATGACAGCTTCTAATACTGCATACATATGTGTGTATATAGAATCAAAATAGACAGCGTAGAGAAATTTTTTCTTTTTTAAACTGTGGACTTTAGAATTAGACACACTTAAATTTAAATCCTGATTCTGTTATTTTCTCTTTGTCTTTTGGGCAAATTAGTTATCTATGCTTCTATTTCCCCATCTGGAGATAATAAAAATCTCACAAAATTGTTGTAAATTAAAATCACCTATGTAAAACTCTTAGCGTAGTCCTCATGCATAGCAATGGAATAAGTGGGAATAAACTGAATGACTTTTAAAGACCTCCCAGATTATTTTTGGTACTTTTTAATAGAAAAAATGTATCAATTTTAGTGTGTATCAGCTCATAGATGCTATTCCACCAGGCTTTAGAAACGTACTTTTGATAAATTAGTCACTCTGACCACATAACTATGAAAACAGCATGTGTGTGTCTGAATGAGAAGCTCCCAGCCCTGCTCTGCAGGAGTCATAGAGACTGGGCTACTAGTGGGGAGTGAATTAATTCCCCAGAGCGCCCGGGGGAACAGAGCGCTTGGAAGAGGTGCTGGGCTCCTAGTACCCGGTCCACTTTACTCTCAGTGTATTCTGTGCCTTCAGTGAACACTGTGTAAGCAGTGGGGCTAGAGAATTACGTGCAAACACCTAGCCACAGCGCAGCAGGGCAACAACCTTTTAACCTAAATATACTTCCCCAACTAATCTCAAAACCTTGGTGGTCCCATATGACTAAAGTCCAGGCCTTAATTATCTCTGAATCCCTAGAACAGAAATAGTTATCTGGCATGTGACCTGGGCTAACTATTTGTTAATTGTTGATGGAATCAATGAATGCCTTTTACAATAGTCATGATGGCAAATAGTGTCCTTTTTAGGTCAACAATAATCGCCTTTAAGGGGCTTCCCAGGTGGGGCCAGCGGCAGAGAATACACCTACCAATGCAAGAGACGCAGAGACACGGGTTTGAGCCCTGGGTAGGGGAGACCCCTGGAGAAGGAAATGGAAACCTGCTCCAGTATTCTTGCCTGAAAATGTCCATGGACAGAGGAGCCTGGTGGACTCCCACGGGCTAAAGGCCATGGGGTAGCAAAGAATCAGACATGACTGAGCAAATACAGACAATAGCCTTTAACACTGAAGAAAGCAACTCACTTACATGCTGCTCTGCCTCTCATCTGTGCAATCCACATGGAGCTGAGAGAACCCACACTGGGCCATATCAAATGACATCTGAAATGACAGGGCTCACCTCACCTACTCTTTGGAAACAACTACTGAAAACATTCTGTGAGCATGCTTACACACACACACACACACTCACACACACTTTCCTCACAGAAATAGTGAGCACCTTAACTAAAAATTCATCCTCAGGATTAGGAAGAGGCATTTAGTTTCCCAAAGAGAAATAGTATTAAAAGTATTCTGATCTGGTTCTGAGAATCATACATTTATGCAAAGATTAAAATTGTGATTTCCTAATATTCCAGTAGTAATAACTACATTTAAAATTAGTAAACAGAATAATGTGTTAGTCACTCAGTCATGTCCAACTCTTTGCAACCCAGTGGACTGTAGCCCAACAGGCTCCCCTGTCCATGGAATTCCCCAGGTAAGAATACTGGAGTGGCTCGCCGCCATTCCCTTCTCCAGGGGATTTTCACACCCATGGATCGAATCAAGGTCTCCTGCATTGCAGGAAGATTCTTTACCATCTGAGCCATCAGGCCTCATGCTTGCCCACAGACTCCCCTTACTTGGCATTTAGTCTGAACATATAAAAATATAGAGATTCCCAATCCCTATCTCAGGAAAGTCATCCACACAGGGACCTGACCACACCGCACACTGGCTGGTTCACAGGACTTATTATCCTATCTTAGACATCCTGGTTCTATTAGCCCTAGCTGCAGGGACCAAAAGTTTCCTCTGCCCCTTCTGAAATATTAGATAATGTCAGTGCAGGGGGATAATACACTCTTTCTGTATTTCTGCCCTGAAGTGCAGCAACTGTTGCTCTTGGGGATGATTGTGCTAATTCTTAGGTCATTAACGCCAAGTACTACATGACTACACACTACTCTAACCAGAGAGAATGCAAAACAGTGCAATACATCTTTCTGGAGCATGAAGTTTAATAAGATTGAACCAAGGGAAGAACCAAAGTGTTGGCAATAAATATCCCCTCCCCCACCACATGGAAGACAGAAGTGTGGGGGATGGGGACATGCCCCAGGGGACAGTCCAGTCTCTGAAGTTTCACCCAGCAGGGGAGGAGGGGCAGCCAGGCCAGGGTGGCGCCTCTTCTGGTCTCCCAGGCCCCTCCAGAGCATCCTCTGTGCTGGCCAGGGTTCTGGACAGGAGGCTTCCTGAAGGGGTGGAGGTGCTCGGTTTGAGTCCCATCATCCAGGTGGGAATATGCTGAGGTCCCAGAGGGCTTGGCAGGTCATCCACTGGGTGTTTCTGGGCTCACTTTATTTTTACCCCTCTTGCTGGGCAGCCCACAGCAAAGGTATTTAAATATACCTCTCCATATTCTCCCAGCCACCCCCGTCTTTTTCTGGGTGAGGCCAGAGGGAGTGACTGTGGACATATTCTCGGGCTGCCCAACAAGGGTGGAGCTTCCCGCATCAGGCACATCTGGGGGGCAGTGGGTCCCTTCTGGGACTTCACCGCTGACGTCATGGGTGCTGCAGGCATCACAGGTGCCCCTGGTGTCCCGGGTGACGGTAGCATGAGGATCGTGGGTGCCGTGGGCACCACTGGTGTCACTGGCGAGACAGGTGTCACTGGCGACACTGGCGCCGCAGGTATCGCGGGATCCACGGGCGTCTTCTGTGCTGCAGGCCCCAGTGCTGTCCTGGTTGCTTAGGGCGTCATGGCTGAGGCTGGTATCACAGGCGAAGCTGGTCTCACAGGTGCTGCAGGCGTCACAGGTGAAGCTGGCACCACTGGTATCGCAGCTGTCGCAGGCGCTGCTGGTGTCACAGGCGTCTCTGGTGTCCCGCGTAACACTGGTATCACAGGTGTAACTGGTGAGCCTGGCCCCGCACGTGTCGTGGCGGTCACCGGCGTGATCGGTGGCTCGGGCGATGCTGTCATCACGGGTGTCGTGAGTGGAGGGGGCTGAGCTGGGGGTGACGGTCCTCGCTTCCGGGCAGGGTGGGGGAGTGACAGGCTCTCTGGTCATTTCCCTTGACTCCTGGTTCTCCTGCTGCTGAATGGTATCCCAAAGCCAGTCGGGAATAAGCATGGACACTTCAGGGCTGGCGGGAGGCGTATGTTCTTGGCTGCTGAGGTCGGAGGAAATGGCTGGCCTCGCAATGATGGTGCGGGCCCCCACCTTGGGTTCATCCGTGTCACTGCCACTGCTTGTAAGCCAGCCCTGATTCTGGGCCCTGCACCAGCCCAGTACCATCTCCGATGTCACCCCAGGGTACTCTTCACAGGCTGGCGGGAGTGGGTCCTCCTGGCCCATGTTCACCCATGGATGCTGCCAAACATCATCTAAAGTCCCTCTATTGGTAGGGTTGAGTGTTAGCATCCTCTGTATTAAATTCATTATTTCACTTGATAGGTGTTTGGGCACATGGTACTGCCCTCTGAGGATGCACTGCCGCAGCTCCCAGAAATCTCGTCCCCTGAAGGGGAGGGATCCAGTTACCATGGTATACAGGACGACGCCGAGGCTCCACACATCCACCTCTGGGCCTGTGTAAGGCAGCCTCAGGAAGAGTTCTGGGGCTGTGAACG